CAATGAGATGGATCAAATCTCTGGTGCTCAGGACACGGAGCTGAGCACCCATCAGGCTCGGGGCAGGGAGCTAGAGCTGCCTGGGCATCCCCAGCATCAGCAGGATGCTGAACCCTGGTGCTTAAAATGACATGGCACGAGCCCACTGTGGATATTCTCGGCCAGATTCAATTAGGAGGTGCATTTGCACAAAACAATTTTGAGGCAGCTCTCGCCGAATGTTAAAGCAGGGCTAGCTCCAGAACCAAGGAGAAACGTGAGGTGATTTTTAGGATTTTTGGTAAATCACATCAGGTCCCAGCAGAGTGAGCTCATTACGCACAGCATCTGTGCAGTCGCCAAACGCGACGAGCCAGCAAAATGTGAAGGATAAAGGGCCATGAGATCTTTAAAGAAGAAACAGAGTCAGCCATGATGGTCATGACAATCGTGGTGATGAAGAGTTAAAACCGCTGACGGTCCCTATCACCATCAGTTCCTGACACCAGTTATCAGTGTAATAGACTTACACAATATGTTATCCACTGCAGCGCTGGAGATTTTTGCCGAGGTGATTGCAGAGAAGATGATCAGCTTTCTCTTTTGGTAAATCCCTTTAGCAAAGTCTGCTCTGGAGGGGCACAAACCTTTCCAGTTCCCTGGAGCTGGAGACCCAGCACCTCTCAGCCATGAAGAGTGCCCTTCTACAGGGGCAGAAGTGGTGCAGAAGATTTGTGCAGCAGCAGAATTACAAATTAAGCCTCTTAATTAAGGCCCAGGCAACTCTCTTGACTTCAGAGAGGCCTGAGGAGCAGCTGAGAAGAGCGGAGCAGATTTAACGCCGGTACAAAGTGAGTCATGAACATCTCAGCGAGGGCGAAGGAGCCGACCTGCCCCTGCTGCTCTGCTTGTTCTGCCTGATTTTAAGACATTTCATTTATTCCACATGGGTTTTGCTAAGAGAAAAGCACCGGCTTCTAATTAAGCTCATGTTTTTGCAGTTCAGTGATCCCAAACCTGACAAGATATCTGGAAGGACTGAGTGCTGTTAATTATCGAGCAAGATCTCAAGGTAACACTTGTGAGTGGCTGCAGGGACATTGCTGTCCCCAAGTCGCCTGCACCTGCAAGGGCTCACAGTGAACTCTGTATATTTAGATTTCCACTCAAAAGCACTGAAAACAACAACCATCAAGAAACTCCAGATGCCTTGGATGTACCCCAAAAGCAGGGTGCTGACATGGCATGAGCACAGGGTTTGGAACTTGCCAGTGGGGCTCTGCAGCAGCTGATGTGCTCAGGGCTGGGGCCAAGCCTTGGAACAGGCACACCCCAAACACACAGGCTCTCTTAAGCCTTAAGGGTACAAGAAAATACTTGTTTCTCCAGCTGGTGCTCCCCTGCAATGCTGTCCCCTCTCCGGTCGCTCCCCATGTGCTTTGAGAGGGTCCCCCCATCCCTCTCCACTTTTCCCCAGGGATTTCCTGGTGCTGGTGCAAGCTCTCGCCCACTTTGCTTGACACGCTCCAAGGAATCTCATCCGAAAACACAAATTCAACATCTTGCTGCACAAGATGACTCACGACTCTACCTCTCCTCTCCAGACCTCCCTCCTCCTGCTCACGCTGCGGCTCAGCCTCTCACTGACGTTTCCGCATGAGCGCGCAGCCAGCAGCCAAACCATAGCATCACCGAACCGGAGCTCAGCCCAGACTGAGCCCCCCTCCTCCCTTCACCCTTGCAGCCTCTGCTTGTGCCTCACCAGGTCACTAACCCAGACCAACACACCACATCTGAGCTAGATCCTTTCCGGAGGACTCAGCCCTCAGCACTGTCTGGCTCCGGCAGATTGCTCCTGGCAGGGAGCATCCCCAAGACAAGGTGCCTCTACTCAAGCACGGAGCTGGAGGGGGGTTTGTCCTGGCCATGGTCACCTTGAACCCTGATGACCACGTCATCTGCCCCGCAGCACCTCATCCAGGCTGCTGCATCCATCCCATTTCGCTGCCCATGAACATCCGTACTGGCAAATGTCACCTCCAACAAATCTTGCTGCCAATCTGCCAATACCTGGTAGAGAGGATTTTTCAGGGCTGCGTTGAGAGCCTGGTGGATCGGTGGGACTCTCTTGGTTTGAGTTGTCTCCATCTGGTTCGGTAGGTAACACTTTTTGGGGTGGAAACTTCCTAACTGAGGTGGGTTTGTGCAGCATGGTGCACTGCAGACATCTGTGCCACTAAGGAAATGTGTAGGTGCTCCTGCAATACAAATAATTAGCAACATCTCGTGAGAAAACATCCTGATCTGGGCTAAAACCACTTCAAATATTAAAGATCATTTCATTTTTACAAGTAGGGAGAAATGTGTGAGTCTCCAAGGACCCAAAACCTCGACTTGGTCTCATGGTACCGAACTCTCTTGCAGGGCAAGTGGGAGAAGCAGCTGCTGCCCACCATCACCGAGAGGCTGCGGGAGGCCGGCCCCCGCTGGCCGGCCGCCCCGGGGG